GCCTAACTCGACAAAGTAGCTCAACTCATCAGAACTCCGTCATCTTAACGAACCACCGAACTTTGTAAGACTCAGAAGTAGCATTTAAAAAGATTATCAGAATAATTTACTGAACAAATGTTAAATACTTGTTGATAGTGTATAACAATCTGTTTAAAACATCTATATATACTAGGGATGTCGAAATTAATGGGTTAACGCAGATTAATCCATCATCATGATTAATCTGATTAAAATTTTTAACGCAATTATCCCATCTGATGCACAGAATGACTCAAAATCCTTGAAATGTCTCTGTCAACCCATTTCGGGCAGTTTTGGTGCGTTCCTTTTGCCCTGGGAACTCGTATTCCGAGTCGGATTCCAAGTTTTGAAGCCGGAAGTGACGGCATGTGCACTCCCGTTTCTCGGAGATCCAAGAAATATCTTGGAGCAGCACAGAGGATCCCGAGTTCAGAATCCAAGATGGCTGCGCCTTTTATCAACAGAAGGGAAAGTTGTAGTTTTATACTGTTTAAGCACTACTTCTCATTTGTGGCTTATTAAATCGGTCGCACACACTATACCGTCCAACTTATCTGTGGACGTGTTGCTACAGAGTTTTATACGTAAAGCATCGCGCGTAATGTGTTATCAACTGATATTGCTAACAATGGCAATTAACCGGGCTAGAATTGGATTTCATGATTAGTCGGATTATTTGTCGGATTTACGGTAGTTCTGGCTAATTGTAAGTGAACAAAGATGAGACCATTTAAACTGAGGTACCTTAAATCCGACAAGTTGTCCGGCTAAGCAAAGAAACTTTCGATATGCGTCCATGGTATTGTACTTCTGTGGCAGATGGAATGCATCCGACTCATGTTCAAGATGTTCAATAAACAAGTTAAATATTTTCAATATTTAATTGTGATTAATCGAAATTAATCAACAGCAACCCTGTGATTAATCTGATTAAAAATTTTAATCGTTTGACAGCACTAATATATACTTAACAATATATGTGAATGCACATATTAAAATTAACATAGTAAATGCATTGGCCATTTCACTTCATGTCTTTTTGGAACAGTAATGTTGAACAAGCTCGTAAACGAGCTGTGCCCGTGAAACGGCTGCGCTACATATATTTTTATTTTTAAGAGTCCCTGTTGCTATCCATACTTTTCTGCCTGTTCCTGGGTCTGAGCCAAAGCTGGAAATCACGATAGATGACACATCAATAACTCAGTATCAGAGGGAGAGAGAGGGGAAAAAGGACAGATCATTTTCTCTATGGAGTAACAAAATCTGAACTGTCCGACTTCACCATGTCGTCCTGTCTTGCCAAGGCGGACCGGGCTCCGGAAAAGGGACGCAGTGTGAGAAGATCGTAGCCCAGTACGGCTATACTCACCTCTCTTCTGGAGACCTGCTCCGTGCCGAGGTCAGCTCTGGATCTGAGAGGGGCAAGCAGCTGTCCGCCATCATGCAGAGGGGAGAGCTCGTCCCGCTGGTAGGGGAGAGCTGTGGTACCAAAGCTAGCCGTCTCTGGCATGTTCTTGTTTGATTGCTCTATATCCATCCATCCATCCATCCATCCATCCATCCATCCATCCATCCATCCATCCATCCATCCATCTATCTATCTATGGGGGAATTTCACAACTGAAATAAAAAAGTCACTTTTGGGGGGGGGTCCACCCATCTATCCATCTTACATAGACTTATCCTGGACTGGATTGTGAGGTATATTACATTATTTTAAATATGTTATGTACATTCTTTGAGGAATAAAAACCTTTTTGAAGATTTAAAGGGACAATATCTATCCAAGCATGTGTTGATCAATCATGTTCATTATTGGTGTATATTAATAATCAGCATCAAATTTGGCTGATTTGTTCTCTCAAGATATTTACAAAATCATGAATGCCAAACTTCTGGAAGAATCTCTTCTGCATAACCCCTGACCCATGCAAACCCTTCCAGAGGATCCTGTGGCCCATGCGACATATTAGATGTATACCCGACCCCAATGGCTTGTGACCCTGGAGCCCTTAGTGTCCCATAAGGTTGACAGGGAGCCTTCAGTCATGCTCTGGATAAATCTGTGACTGCAGTTTAGCACAGATTAAAAAAAAATTAAAGAAACAAACACAAGCTGACTCTGTCTGTGACTGTGTTTAATAGCTGGTCCATTGACATTTAGCGAAGTCCCAGATTGCTGCTAAATTAGTGGATGTAACACTCTGTGAGCACATGACGTGACATTTTCAGCCAGGGGCAAAAACACTGAAGACTAAAGTGTTGTTGCGTCCCACTTTTGAATCTGTTTTCTTTGAACTGTCCCACAAGTATCTTAGATCCCGGCTTAGTGGTATAGCTATAGAGCGGAAATGATTAATCGAGACAGCATTGCTTGTGTTAGCTTCTCCTTCAAGTAAAGCCTCACAAATCGTTGTACCTTTTTTGCTGAGTGACCAGCTCCACACACTCATATTTTACAACATTTTATATCAGTGGCTTGTCAGTTTGCACCTATACGGTCAATGACACAGCTCTTTAGTAATGGCCAAAGGAAGCTTCATGAACCATTCGTTGTATTTTTTGACACCACTAGATGGTGCTCTTAGCTTGCTTTTTGAGAACACTATCTAGTGAGGTCAGAAAATACAACAAGTGGTTAAAGCTTCCTTTGGTCATCACTACAGCTAAGCCTTCCTTGCTTCCCATTGGCTCACTGATATTGCCTGGTCCCCATTGCTGGTTGTTGTTTTGGATTAGACCTTAAATACTATCAAATAGGGATATGTTGACAGAAATGAATGAATGCCACATGCCTTTGGCAGACAGAGCTGCAATTTTGTTCTTCTGTTCTGTTGCTCTCTTGATTGTAGAAAATGTTATTAATGGATGATGCATACAATAGATTGTATTGAGACTACCCTGTAGACTGTAACCCTACAAAGACTGTCCTATGCCTTGTGCCTTGTGCTGCCATAGATAAGCTCTAGGTTGCCAGACCCTGTACTAGATAAGTAGTTGACTAGTGGTAGGATGAATTATAGGGAGTCATGTTGTGGAGGAAGGAGTTGTTGTTGTTGTGATATTTGGTGAGATACTTTATTGAATTGGCCAAGCACTGGGAACCTTTCAGTTAAAATCTAGCACCTGATTGAGGCCTTGTGATTTTACTTTTGATGAATTGTCTGGGGGTGGGAATTTCGGTGCCCTTTTTAATCTGCATATCTGTGTTTTCAGGACACTGTTTTGGATATGATAAAGGAAGCCATGATTGCCAAGGTTGACGTGTCCAAGGGCTTCCTGATTGACGGTTATCCCCGCGAGGTCAAGCAGGGCGAGGAGTTCGAGAAGAAGGTGCCCAGACTGAGGGACGTCTTGTTGTTACTGGTGTAATGATCAGCTTCACAGATGTGGTCTGAAACGTGCTGTCGCCATCGATTGACAGATCGGGGCCCCCAGCTTGCTGCTGTACATTGATGCCAAAGGTGAAACCATGGTGAAAAGACTTATGAAGCGTGGGGAGACCAGTGGCCGTGCCGATGACAACGAGGAGACAATCAAGAAGCGCCTCGACCTATACTACAAAGCCACCGAGCCGGTGATTGCTTTCTATGAGGGACGCGGCATTGTCAGGAAGGTGAGCCTGTGATGGGATTCTGGGGCTTTTTAAAGGCAAGGTAGGCGGGATTAGTTTGCGCTATCAGTCACTGCTTGGATCCTCTGAGTTGGCAATAATAAAGCAACCAATAGGAATGAGTGACACTCCTTGAGAGTCCCACCAACTGTGGATTACAAAACTTTTCAAGATCATACTTGGTTGGATCATTGCTGCAATGTGAGGGAGAATATAGTTTAACTAAATTACAAATATTACTCAATTCAAATGAATTTGAAAATATAACACCAATATTGTGCAGGGTAGAGACCACTTATAATCATTTTGAAACATTAAAATGAATTTCAGGTTTTTGTATTCATGTCTAATACTTCATTCAGAAACAATACTTGAAAATTCCACTGGGGGGTGCTATATAGTTACGTTCTTGTAATAATTGAAATACTTTTAACCAGTAGATGTCACTGTAAGTGAATCTTGCTTTCGGTATTTATGGGTCTAATATCTTAGGTACACAAGTGCGTTTCATTATTTTTAACTATATCTAATCCACAAAATGGAATTTGTGTAATTTAATTTCACATTTACACGTTAAGAATTCCCAGTATGAATAATCTGATTTGGGTGATTTTATTTATGGTACATGCTATAAAAAACAAATTAATTTAGAGTATATAAGCTCAGTTGCCTAGCAACACTATATATTTACTTGGAGTTCGGTGTACATGCTGTGTTGATTTAATGATTTAATATGAAAAATACATTAATATTACACTTTTATGATTCAATAAAAGAAAAAATGTCTCCTTTACAGCCTAAAATTGTGAGCACTGAAGCAACCAAACCTTAAAACATATACTGTGTACATGAAGGCAGTATTTTAGTTAAAGAGTTAGTGCATTATATCCTTTCTCACTGTGTACTTTCCCATTTTTTGCAGATTGACTCAGAAGGTACTGTGGATGCGGTCTTCAGCCAAGTTGTCAAAGCTATCGAGTCCATGAAATAAAGGCATCACAAACGAAATAATTTTCTCTTTTGTTGGCCTTTTTATATTTATATTTCGCAAATTACATGAACAGCCCACCAAAAGTCACAATGGTTTTTTGGCTCATTGTCACCCCTACTTCACTTCACAGTGCCCCCTAACTGTATTATATCAACTGCGGGTGCTGCAGTGCAACCTCCGAAATCGCCATCGGCGTCTTCCTGCGTTGCTGGCATTTGTTGTCCCTTTCACCATTTTCACCATGGGTACCTTTGTTTCTCCCATGCTTCCACTCCACCAGTTTGTGTTTGGCTGTTTGGCTCCCATCTCTCCTCATGGCACTTGTTTTGCCTTCTGCTGTTGTGATGTCCCTCCTAGAGTCCGTTTTTGGATGTTACCCGTGGGTGCTTGTCAACCTCTGTTTCTGTTCTGCTCCCATTAAATACCACCTTTAATAATAAAAAAAGAAAAGGTCTGTTTAAATCCTGCGTCCCTGTCCCTGTTCTCGTTGTACCTGCCTTTGGGGAAGAACGGAGCAGGACCCCTGAGATTGGGCTGACCCTTGGGTTTTTCTCATGGGTGCCCGGCGTACATTTCGGGACGCCTGCGACATGCAGAAGCAGTCTCGCTGACGCTAGCTGTTTGTAATTATAGCAGCTGTCATCTCCTTGCGCTAGCTTGGCTGTGCGATGCCTGCGGTGGGCGCAGACATAAGCAAGGGAGGTGTGTAGAATTGGGCTTCGCAACCAATGCAAAAAAAGGGCTATTTTTCTTGAAAGGGCACTTGCAGTACTTTATCTCCACAGTTATTAATAGTTAACAATACCATCCTATTAGTGTGTCCTTTTGCTTTCAGGGACAGTGGGTTTAATCTTCCTGTCTTTTAGTTAGAAGAAAATGAAAAAAAAATGTTCTGGGAGAAACATATATTCAAAGCTATATGAATCAATTTTTTTTTACTTATTTGTTAGGGGCCCAGAGTACATCTCTTTAAAATGCATTTCACTGACTATATTTAAAGCATATGGTGAATCTGGTATAATTGCATTTCCTAATATATGTTTTCAAAATAGAGTAACCAATAAGAGCAATTATTTGGATATCTCTGAATGGATGTACTTGAATAAGTCAATTGAGGTGGTTGGTAAATTAGGAAATTACTTTTTTTGGAGGGGGGGTGGAGACAGAAGGGTGAATTAGTACATAAATATTAAAATGCAAATAAGAAAACTTTTGCTCCATACATTTTACAACAGCATATTAATATTATCCTACACGTACTTAATAGCTAGACCAATCAATGCATTGTGCAGTGCAAAGCATCCATCTTAGCCGATATAAAACACCACATTTGTTAAGGCGTTTTTTTAAGTTATAATTCAAACTGCACCGACGCATCATTCGGCGTGCCAGCTGGGTCTGCATCAGTGTCGGTCACGTGCGTTCTTTTTGCTGCGATACACATGTCGTGCCGCTCGTAAACGTTTCAAGTTGACGTAAATCATAGAAGCATGTTCCGCAAAGATAAACAGCCAATTAGTTGAAGCCGGGGTAGGTGCGAGAAGATGATAAACTTGCCTCAACTATAAGAAAAAAAGTTGATGCCCCACCCAGGGGGGCGAATCTAAATACGCAAACTGTTTCAGCGCCTCCCCTGATGCCGGGGGAGGGTCAGGACAGGCAGTCTTAAACAGCGCAAGGTGGAATAGGGTCATTAACTCCCCAGGAGAGCTGAGTTGCAGCCACCATGCCCTGTCTGCAAAACTGCTGAGCAAACCGAAACAGAAAACCATGCATTAACCTTGCTCAGTATACATTTGCCTTTATCCTACCGCGTTTGATTTAATTCAGAAAAGGTTCAGTTAAAGCTGCCTCCCTTTCTCCTGTGTGCAAACTTCAACAATGGAACATCTTTTTGCTTGAAATACACACACACACAAGGTTTTTTTTATTATTATATATTACAAAATCTAAGCATATAAATCCACCCTCCATCCATATTCATGCTTTAATCGCCAAGAATGAGAAATTTCAGACCCCACACTCACTCCCAAGTCCCCAACCCCAAAGGTATAGGGCCAGGCACACAGCCACGTAGCTCTTAATCCCCCCCACAAAAATATATATATATATATATATATTATTCACTACCAATCAGGCACACAGACAGGGAGTAAAACTGTGAGTTTGTGAATCCCAGTTGAAATTTGCTCAGCTCCCCAGGTCGGTGTAATTCATGAATGGTGACTCCCGAACCCAAAAAAAAAAAAAATCGGCAAAATATACAGAGTCTCCGAGTACCCCCCCCCCACACACACACACACACACACACACAAGTTGTATTTCTGGCTACAGGCCCATATAAGGCAACAGTAAAATCTGTTTAGTTGATCAGCTTGGTTTTAACTTTACAGCGTCTGAGTTCGTTCCAAAGGACACCATTTCAATACAATATTATTATTTATAAAATTATTATTATAATTTCAAATGCCACTGAATTAATTAATAAATCAGATTAAACTGTTTAACACTTTAGCCACAGCAAAATTGATTATGGCAGTTCTGTGACATCAGGTGTAATTGTATAATTGTGAACACTGCCCACTAGTGGACAATAGTCACACCGATGTAGAAATAAACTTTGTAGGCGAAACCCACAGAGGTGGTCTTTTATGGTGACGTGAAAAAGGATAAAAAAAAAACAAACCTACCTCTTTGACATTAACTAAACTTCAAACTAAGCCTGCATCCAATCAGTGATTATCTGATACAGGGTACAACAGGAAAGCAGAGAGGTGGTTGACATTGGTGGGGAAGTATAATGGACCGTTGCCTGGAAAACATCCCTGTCAGCTACCTTACAAGATGAAAAATGAAATAATAAATAAATAAAACAAACAACAAACAGAGATGCACCTTTCGCAATACTGACCCCTGAACACCTGCCTCAGTGAGATAGTGACTGCGTCATGCTACTCATTTTCAGACCTGGGTATTTTTAATTAAATCATTGGTCGCTGAAAAAGTATTTGGCAACGCATTCCAATCCTTAGTAGTTAATAAGAGGTGCACATGCTTCTCATGATGGCAAAACAGCCTGCTGCCACCTTGAGGTGTGGAGGTCACTCATCGGCTTTGAAGACACAGACAAGCGCACAAGCGAAATTATTGCGCTTCCTTACTAAGCAGTCGATCGATAACCTGGGGATTATGTAAGCATGACTTTGGTAGAGAGTCCAACACGTCATTCCGCAATATGCATAAGCAACTGAAACAGTTCAACTCCCCCTTCTGAATGCAACAAAGAACTAACTCCGAAGATGACTGCAAGTTACCGTGCTCTCAGCTGCTAAGAATTAGTTCTGCAAAAAATTTTTGAGCAGGACTGCTGCAACCTCAGATAACCCGCATTTGTCTCATTGGAGTTCACATTGTATGAACTGAGGTAAAATCTGAAGGCACAGTCTGGCGTCTCAGCTTTACAAAAGAGAACCACTGTAGCCTTAAGTTACTAAATGCCACTGAACCATGTGAGCCATTTGAAACAAATGCGCCTCCCAGAGAAATCATAATTCGCATGAGAATTATTTAATGATTACTGGAGTTTAATTAATATGATTCTAATAAGCAGCCTATGGCTTCTCAGTTGGTGATTTTTCTCCATCACACACACACACACACACACACACACACACACACACACACACACACGTCATTAGTTTGTCCCTCAGAGGGCTGTCAGGAAACCTTCAGACATCATTAGACACTGTGTTTATCTGTTTTGTTTGAGTTTTCATTTATTATTATTGTGTTTTTTTAAACGTGTATCAACATGATGGAGTCTTGCCTTTGTAGTCACCCTGACAGATGATGACACAGCCTATAAAACGTTTCCTGTTATTGAAACGCACAGGACTGTGCTGAACTCTTAAGTCAGCCTGGGAGGACCTCGGACAAAAGTATGCTTGAGGTCCACAGTGTTTATGGCCCATGAGTACGTGTGTCTTCCACCGTCTGAACCTAATGTCACATAAGGATTGTTTGTTTTTCTCGGTGCCTGCTTTGATGAACTGCCAGCATTCTAATAATAATCATAATAACAACAACAACAACAACAATAATAATAATAATAATAATAATAATGCATTTTTAAATGCCCCAGTACTGTACAATGTCATATTAGGAGAAATGTATTGCACTGATATTTTTATATACTGCAGCAAACATAACATGGCACAGAGAATGTTGAAGCTTGAAAACAGCTATAATCATCCATCCATCCATCCATCCATCCTTTAACTGCTTACCCTGGTCAGCCAACACAGGGGGCAAAGCAGGACACTCACAATCCCGCAATTTTTGAGTCGCGAATTTGATAATTAGCAGTATCACACATACTTGTTCACATTTGATCACCGCCGTTTGTCGCAGTAAATGTACATTTTCTTCATATTGTAACATTCAGGAGTTCCTGAATATTTTCAGCCGAGGAAAGTTATGTAGGTTTCAAGTTTATTCAATATACGAATCCGTCTGTATACACAGTGTATGTAGGCAATATAGCCTATACCCACACAAGCCTGCTTGTGGGGCGTTTGATCTAAAAACAATGTGTTGTTTGAAGGGCTAGAGAAGAAATTTCTGTTTTATGTATTCTGGAGACTTTAACGTCATGGCGTTTTAATTAAATCCTAAAATGACATGCATTGTTAACAAATTAACGTTTTCCTATAAATGAAGACTTATATGAATAAAGCATTTAAGCCTGGCACTAGGGCTTTTTCTCGGAAGACTAAAATAGCGTGCTGCCCCCAGCCCAACCCCCCGACCTCGAGTACCGGACATAGGCGTGAGTAACATACGCACCGGACTTGTTGCGCAGCTCCCGTCTGCTTGCCGAGTGTAAATTCCGAGCCAGTGGAAGACGTGCAAGAGTTCAGCTGAAAGTCAGAAGCCTTCCCCGTCCTTACTGTACCTTTCAGTATATAAAGAGACATTTCGACTCTCAACTTAAAACACGTGAGTGCCTTTATATTTTATACAAGTTACTGCTTATCTGGCCTCTGAATCGCTTTCTTTCGTGTAGGAAATGTACGCATAACCCGCCGAATGTATTAACCACGAAGACATCAAATTTTACAATAGTAAACTTAGTTTGACTCTATTTATAACTTACTTTAATTATTCTAGTGATACTGACAAGTAGTAAGTAGCTTAAATAAGTCCACAAGAAGTACTTTACGGAATAATCCAGCATCTGTAGTCATTATATAATTGTTATATTTTATACGGAGTGACCATTATTTATATATAGTCGTCTTTTACATTACGTGTTTATCTTTTGTTCTTCTTCTTCTATTATTATTATTATTTTTATAATTATTATTGTAGTTGTTGTTACTCTTATTATTCTTATTTGTTATAGTAGTAGTATGGTACATCGTTTAAGATCGTTTTTGCAAAATATCGCAAAATAATTTTTGCTGCTTGGATGGCATGAATGTGCGTGAAGGGATGTGATCTTTTAAGATGTACTTTTATGACTGTGCGACTTTGCCTAATTAATTGCAGTATTTTCATATGAAGATCTTTTTCTTCAATTACACAAACATTTTATTACATGCAGCCCTTGTGTATTTAAGGTGCCGTCGGAATTATGAGGCCATATTATTAGCCAGTGAAACTAATTAGGCGCGATTCGAGAGACTGTACTGATCAACAGAATTCTTGCTGTTTTTCGTATGCGAGACGGTGACTGAGGGCATTTAAAATAACTGGAAGGCTGTCCGTGCTGCAGTCACGCAGTCACTGCGGTATGCGTGAAAATCAACAAGTAAACAAAATTATTAATGGAGTTTTTAAACAGCCATGGAAACATATCCAGGACCGAGGGTGGACTGTCGAGTGGGCTAATAAAATTCCTGTCAGATTTGCAGCCCTCTGTATGGTATTAAAGGCTGGATATGGTTGAGATGTCATGTGGATATCATTTGGGCACCATGGCAACATTAATTAGTTCTCTGGTTGCCTGTTTCTTAACATTATTAAAAATGTAGTTCGAGTGAAAGCAGACAGGAACAGGAGACAGTGGTAACTTGACTAATTAACCTGAAGAGCTGTGTCTTATTGTGTCTGTCATATTGTTCAAAATAAGCCGCACCGCCCTGAACTGCCCCATTGCCCCACAGCTGCCTGGGACATTAGCCAGCCCCGAATCCACTCCACTGGCCGACTGGAAAGACAACTCACCCCACCGTTGCTTGCACTGCACCAGTCACTCTTCACACATGGAGACCCCTGTTGTTGCTGCCGCCATCTTGATTTTGGCCTTCGCAACCATGGCAACCTCAGGTGAGCGCTTTTCACCCGCTTAGTACTGGAACGTGTCTCACTGACAGTTTGCGAATTTTATGCTTATTAAGGCGATTTAAGGCTTAGCGTTTCAGAATCCAGAACACACCATTCCTTCAGGCAGTTATGAGACATTTCTAAATAACTCAGTTAAATAAGATTCTTGCCCATCAGTGCAGTGTATTTGTCTGTTTTGAGATGTATACCTGTGAATCCGTGTTTGTTTTTATCTACCTGGTACTGAATCTTAATTACACCACATGCATTCTTTCTCGGTACATTTGTTTTTTGGATGGGATGGATGTGAAATTTGCTCCTGCTCATTTAGAGCACCTGATGTGCATGAACAGTGTGATTATGTGTTCATTTTATCTTTTGAACTATTTTCTCTTTTCCCACGCGGTCCACAAAGAAATGGTCCCTGTTCTGGATTTATAGAATGGGTGCCACTGGAAGTAGAAACTAGAGCCTATTTTGACTCCTACACCTAAAAAAATCCTTGGTGAGACAATGAAATAAATTTAAAAATCTTTTAAAGATTGATTACCTTATAATATTGAGGATGAAATGCAATACATAACTAATGAGTTCATTTCCATATCCCCGACAGTTGTAGTGTTTTACTGATGATGAATATTATTTTTTAGGTTTTTTTTTAGCATATTAGATGTATTGCTGGGCTAATGAATATTATAATTTGTGCTCTTGTAGCCTCAGTGCTTTTTATAATCTAAGTGAATAACAGCTTTTCCCACTTATGGTTTACTGGAGCTGTTAGAATTGAGTGCTTCGCTGAAGGGTACAACAGCAGGAACTTTTTTTGGTACCTGAACCAATGCTGTGGCGAGACGCAGAGTGAGCAGGGTTCAGTGGGGCTTAGCATGGCCCTGGAACTCCTCTGGGCTGGGCAGGGCCGCCCCAGGACCCAGGGGCTGGCGTTCAGTGGCGCGGCCTACTGCCTCCTCCACAGTTTCCGGTCCACAGTCCACGGGCAGAAGGAAAAGTACAAAGGCAATTACCCAGAGCTTGAAATGTAGGGTGGGGGGGAGGGACGAACGGACACGGGGGGGGTGGTTTGGCATGGACGGGTTTTGGAAAGAGGCTCTCTGGGGCAGGGAGGGAGGGTGTGGGGGGTAGGTCAGAGAAGGTCGACTTAGGGATGCTAAGGGATGATATCTTCAGGAATCAACAGTGGGGGTCGGGGGGAGGGGGGGGTTATGTAACTGTTTAGGAACACACACACTCAGCTACGGTACTAACACAGAAAGACC